GGGGGGGGGAGGGAAGAAAAAAGTGTGTGTCTGGCAGCGTACGAGCAGTGAAAAGAATAATTAAGCTTCGCGAGGGCTCTGTTTGTGTGTGTCATCTTAATGGAGGCTCGGTGATAATCACGGGGCGGTTCATCCAGTTTAAACAAGGTGAACTGTTTCTGAAGGCAGGGGTGTTCATGCTGGCAGATACTACTTTTAGAAAATCCGGACTCGCATCTTGGGGGAGCTTTTATTTTTAATTTTTATCTTTTGGAGACCGGCTTGCACACCGTCCCAGCTTGAGGCAGTGCAGACTTGCAACTCGCTTCCCTCCTTTAATTTATAATGTGTTTTGTGAGTGCGTGTGTAAAGCTGCTGCCTGAAATAACCAGTTCTTGTGTATCATCAGCGATAATGGTGGCTGAGGAATAGCTGATCCTGCCTTGGGGCAGAGGGATTGACTGAATGGACTGCCCTATATTCTCTGTGTCTGTGACTGTGTTGGTGGTGGTGGTGTAGAATGGAGTGATGAGGATGTATCTTAAATAAAATGCTAAACATCCTGTGTTTGAATGCATTGGCTGATTTCTAAATAGGTAAAGTAAGGGCTAAGCCTTGTATGATTAATAGTTGCACGGTGCTTGCTAATTCTAAATATAATTACCCAGAACTCGGAAATCAAGTGGGTGTGGTGTTTGTTTTGACAACTCGAAAAAAAAAAAATGCTGTGATGAATCAGAAAAGTAATTCTTCCAGCAGTTGTCTGGAAGTGTGGCCATTTCTCAGCAGGCATTTCTGCTCATTTTGTCAGTGATAGACTTAGCTCTTTTAAGAAAAAAAAAATCTGAAAAAGGAAAACAAAAGACAAAACAAGCCAGTCCTGAAAAGTTATTATTCAAAACAGTTGAACACTGTAATTGTAAAGAGCAGAAAGCTCATTCAACTCAAAATATGTTATTTTCACAGTATTATGGACTTGCATCTGTAGTTAAGGGAAATGACATGCTTGTTATTGGCACTAACCCTGTGTAATATAGTCCTTAATCACATGCAAGATGTAAACTAGAAAGTGGATGTGTTGCTGAATCAATCTTTCATGAGGCGTTAAGCATTTTAAAGTTGGATTTTCATGGGAGGAAAAGTACTCAGGACCTTGGGAGGAGACCGTCTATATTTAGCTAAAGGCTGATTCTATAGCTGAAGTGAGATTTTTACCTAGCATGCAAGTGAAACTATTCTTTTATTTATAACTTCATGTCACATTAATGAACATGTTGCTTTTTTTGGGTCAAATTACACTATAGTTTATGTTCATCCTTACTTGGCTTTGTTGTACACAACTGTAGACTAATAAGACTGGAAATTTTTTTGCAACCAGTTTTACACTGGCTTCTTGTGAGTATTGCGCTTTTTTCTTGAATAGAGATCCAGTCTGACTTTTTCTTATGGACTGCTGTCAGTTTGGAACACCAGGATTAGTTAGGTCATTTCCAGCTAATGAACTGGTATTTTGACTTGAAAGTAAATTTATATGTTTAAAATTTTTTTTTAACAATAGTAAGCATGTGGAAAGTGGGGATTTGGCAGCCAATTTAGAAGTCCTTTATTGCCACTGAGTTGTGAGACTTCTGGGGTACAAGGGCAGTCTGATCAGGGCAGTCTAGTGTTTTGAACCTCTGCAGGACATTTGCAATCCTCAAAAAAAAAAAGATGACATTGAGTGGGAAACTCATAGAGATAAGCATATCGCTGTGCACAGGTACTTTAGGAAGTATGCAGAATCATTTGAGGACTGCACAGGATCACCCTAATTAGAGACTTGAACTAGATAAACATCTAAATATCTAGGACATTGAACTGTGATTCAGAAGGTAAACTGCTATTCCCAGTTCAGTTCTGCCTGCTGCCCTGCTCTTCAGTTTAATTTGCATCCTATGCTTCAGTTCCCTTATTTGTCAAATGGGGTCAGTTGTTTTACCACCTCTGATAAAAACTGTGAATGAAAACAGAGCTGTGTAATGTTAGGATTTATTATTTTAGAAGCACTTGATGGAAGACAAATGTTAATGAAGGGAATTGTTCTTAGTACTGCTTTCTCTTTTGTATGTGGAGCCCTAAATAGGGGCATGCATTTATATTATACAATCCACTTACGCACAAGCCTCCCATTGATTTCAGCAGAGGCTCTGTGCATGGATTATTGATGTGATATGATCCGAGTCAGTTGGTGTTTGTCTCAACCTTCTTTTGTATTCTGATTAAAATATCTCTGTGGTTCACTTAATCCAGGAAATTTCTCCTCCTCCCTCTCCTCACTTGGTTTAAAAACTGCATCTTTTGTGATTTGACTGAAGCTTTTCTTGCATGCTTACTGTTGGTGGTGGTACCAGTGAACTGGGATCCTCATGTTAAATAGTGCTATTGGCAGCAGGTGGTATGGTTACTTACTTGCTAGCATTAAGTGATCTTCTGTATAACTTCTAAATGTATAAACAGTCACTGCTGAAGGCACAGAATAGTACTTCTCTTTGTTTTTCTGAATTTGAGTCTAGTCATGCAGGGGCTTTGTAGTCCCCCAAATTCAACTCCATGCCATTCCTCTTGGAAAAGACTTCAAGATTTGAGTACTCGCCAACTTATGTATGTATGTTTGTTTTAAGCTGTCTCTATGAAGGGCTCTAAACAGGCATGACGAAAGATTAAAATCCTGCTTCTACTTGACAAGTAGACCAAATTATAGCACAAATTATGGCATTGAGCTTTCCCTACTGTTCCCCAAACTCTGTGCTTTATTTCTGAATTTTTAAGCTTTTTTGGGGAGAGAGCAGTTCAGTTGCCAAGCTCTGTTAGTTGTTGGCTGTACTTGCCAGTGATGGTGCCAGGTAGCACGTTGATTCTGTTATGTAGACAGCCGTTCACGAGGAACTAGACCGAAAGACCAGATCGTCTCACAGAGGATTCAGAAGAATGGATTTGCTGCCAAACCAGATTTAGCAAGATGACTTCTGTTCTCCTGCAGGGCAAAGCAGTTATCCATTTGTAGGTAAAAGCTGTTAAATGTAATGAAACCCCCAAATTTTTCTTAGAAAAAAATGTTTTAAAATTGATTAAATATGTATATACCACTTTGAGACGAGCAGCCTGATCTGTTCAGTTCTTTTCACTTTATATTATCTTTCCAAGGTAAATGTTAAAGGTAGAAGAGTCCATGTGGCCTCCTCATGGTTATAGACATTTGCTCTGCATTGAAGACTAAATCTGCATGTTTTGTTTATAAAAAAAGAAACTTTTAAAGTAAGAAATGTATTTTAACACAAAAGAATGTCGAATATGTTTCACTCCCTCCTCATCTAAGTTGGTAGCTTGTACTGGTAGTTTTAAAAAGTTGTCCCAAAAGTTCTTTAGAGGAGGGCTTGTACTCTTAAATAGCACTCTTGGGAAATGCCAAGAATATAAAAATGCACCTGACTTGGGTCAACCACATGGATTGATTCTAGGGAGAGAAAAAGAGCAGATACAGAGCTAGAACACAAAAACCTAAATGACACAAATAGGACTTTTGTCAGCCAGCAGAGCTTCACACTAAGTCTCTTTTTGCTAAATAAATATTTCTTCATGCTAAACTAATCTCCTATTTGTACAGATTACCTGTGAGCTCAGTAGTATCTTAATTTTTAGCCCCCCCCAACCATTAAATCTGTTATCGCGCTAATAAAAAAATGCCATAATAAAATATTAATAATTATGTTCTAAATATTAGTTATTTCTGGTGGCATCAGAAAATGGGCCTGTTAATTGCAGTAACACATTAAGTTTTTTCTTAGCCTAATGTTCAATATTTTTAGCTGTGACTTGGAAGAAAACGTGAAATTTTTGCTGATACAATTTCCAGAGGCTGTCGATTGCCAAACTTTATGTATTGTTGTATAATGGTATTTGGTGGCTTGTGCTCAGCAGTGTAAGCATGCCATGGATTTAGGGGAACAGTATGCCTATAACATAGCATCTGTGTGTACTATTACATCTAGGAAAGAAAGCTGTAGGACTTACAGGAACTGAGTGTCCTTTGCAGAACAATGTCTGGGAATCATAGTAATAGCCACGTGAGAGTGGGCTCCCCATGTGCTACTGTTGCTGAATGGATATTGCAATCTTTTACTATCACTGGAGTTACAAAAGCTTTTACCAATTGAGGGGCTGCAGATCTTGAGGCAACACACTGTTTTCCAAGATATATTCTGCAGTTCACATCAAATTTCTTAATCCCATCATATTTATTGCCTCCCCTTCTTTCTTTACAGGATTTTGAAGACTTTTTCAAGGGAAAATGAATTAAATATGTTGTGGCTTTCCTCCAGTT